TTGGATTTAATTTCTTGTGGTTGGCGAATAGAAATGGTAGCAAAAATCGTGTTGTAATTTAGGCAAATAATTTCCTTTACCTTTACAATTCTATGTCGGTCGGTTTTGTTTGTTAATTTAAAATTGGTCTCTCCGGTGTCTCTCTATCTTAACGGCATACGGCATATCATTGTGTAATTTGTAGACAATAAAATTTTTTGTTGAAGCTTTATACCGCGTCGCCGCTATACGGATTGTAAATTTGTACATTCAAATGTTGATTTTTTTATTTTAAAAACTGAAGTCGGTAATTTAAATACTGTAAGTGTTCAAGTTGCAGTTGCAATTGCACTTTGTAACTGTGACTTAATGAGATTTTAATGAAAACGAAATTAATTGCAACCAAAGTGCATAGAATGCATAAAACGACTTACAAACGGGACGGTGACAGGCATTGGATAGTTATTAATATTCACGTATTTTTTTATTATTTTTTTAGATTTGTAATATTACATTAAAATTATAGAAAAAAACTATTTTGTACATCGATACCAAAAAAATAAAATTCAATAAGCGTAATATATGGTATACTTGAATTAAATCAACATTGACAATATTAAGTAAATTTCTTAATAAACTTTTGTTTTAATGTAGTCATTTAATACAGAATTTGTTATAATAGTTTAAAAAAATACTTAAATGAATAATGATATCAACTATTTATAGCAAAGAAAACAATCAGTCTGCAGTACATATTTTATATAAATTTATTTATCATTTTCCTCTACTCTTCAATTCTCTGAATATTTTTTTTGTACTTAAATATATATGTATTAAAATTAGTTAAATTATTATTAAGGTAATAAAAGTAATTTAAAATATATTAGTTTAAAATATTATATACATATTAAAGTTAAAAATTACATCATTATACTCATAAAGATAATTGCACACTTCTTACAATAAAGTTTATGAGAATTATAATTTGAATGCTTGTGTTAAATAGGTTAATACTAAGATAAACAATTTATATATTTAATTATAATTGTACTCGTAATTACATTTTTATTTAGCTTTTTGTATTTGACATTAATTCATGTTGTTATGAAATTTCATTCAACATAACATTGACTTTAAAATCTAAGTCCAACTGAGCTGATTTTGTCTTGAATAAAAACCCTTACGATTAATAGGGAGCAAATTCGGTCCTAATTCGGTACAAAAGATATCGGTCCTTAAAACAAATCTGACTTTAAAATATTTTCGACGTACCAACTTAAAAAATTTAAAGCAAAATTACACAGTCAAAAGATAGTTAATGTAATCCTCTTCCTATGTGACCGATCATCCATTGTGATAATATATGTATGTTGGTATCTAGAGAGTGTTGTGGAGATAGTTGATTTTCGATTTAATAGATATTTAGAATAATAGATATTAGTGTATCTGTGAAATTAGTTTTTTATATTTTTTTTAGTTTTTTAAAAAGAAAATTTGAAATTGTATGATACTGTATCGGTTTCTTGATATGCCGCCCCTATGTAATAACTTCCATGCCTTGTTTCATGGATACGCCAATGTGTATGATTTAAAAGTTCGGAAGAAAATTGTTTTAAAGTTTGTTACTATTTATTATAGAGGCGCATTAATTCTAAATCAACAAACGAATGTTAACAATAACAACAAAAATAAACAGTAGCTTTACTTTTGCTCTTATATCAATTGTTTAAACAAATTTACATAAAAACTTTTGTGGCAAATTTAATTGCAACATTTAATATTCCGCAGTCATAGTTTAAGAACACAAACAAAAAGTCAAAAAAATAATCATTTTCATACATTGCAATATAAAAAATATTAATTTCAGTAATAAAAAAAAATATAATTTATTGGTTTTGTTTAGATAAATATTTTTATTTTTTAAAATATTTTTTAAGCATTTTTGTGGTTACACGTTCGCCGAGGTTGAAGCATTTGTTGAAACCGAATTTGGTAACTAATTTTATAAACTCAAATGCAATTAAAGCCCGAGGCTTAAGTGAAAAAGATAGTAAAAATTGCTGAAGTGTTTCTTTCTATTTTATTTGTTTAATTTTTTTTCTATATCGAATACTTTGGACCCAAACTTTGGACAGCAGCAATAGCAGCAGCAGCAGCAGCAATTGATTTAATTTTTTTTTTTTGGTTTGCAATAGGCGCTATCTTTGTTACGCACTTATGCAAACTAAGACTCGAAACTTTATAGATACATTTTTATAGATGTTTATTTGCTCATGATTGCAAATACGAGTAAACTTATGTGTATATATAAATATATTTCCACTGGACATAGGTCCACTGTCTTACCAAATTTGTATTTGCCTTTTAGCCACATTTACAGCTGTTGTCTTAACACGTTTCTACTTACCGCAATTGCTGTAGACGCTTTTAGTTTATTTAGCCAACGTCTGTCCTCCAACCGTATGTCCATCTGTCGCCGTTTATGCTGCATTGCATCGACATTTCTTATGATTTTTTGCATACAAATTCAAATTCAATTTAAAATAATATTTTTATTTTATTATTTATTGCTTCTTGTTTTAAATGTTTACTTTCTAGAAAGAAAAACAATTTTCAACAACTACAAATTGTTGCCGACGTGGCGATGTTGCCGCAGTTGCTGCGGTTGCCTGGCGGTTGCCTGGCGTTTGCTGTTGTGTCACAATGCAACTGCATCAAAATCTTGCCATAAATCAACATTGAATTGTAATAAATTTTTTATTGACTTTTTCGTTTATTGGCTAAAACGTGTTAACTAAAACTAAAAATCTGCAAAGAAAAGCTAAGACGGAAAATCAAATTTTATTTCTGCACAGCAAAAATTTCAGTTATGAGCGCATTTTGAAATGATTTTCGTTGTGGCTGGCAACTGTCAGTCGTAGTAGAGGTGTTGCCAACAATTACAACGAATCTGTTTATCACGGTTGCTGAAATTAATTTAATTTTTTATTATATTTGCTTATGATATTTTCATTTTATTTCGCATTTTGCATTTTGCTGAATTGCATGCCAAATAAAAATTATGATTTATGGCTCAATTGCATTTGTGTGTTTGCCAAGTTAAATTGTTTCTAGTTATTTAAGGTCGTCGAAAAGGTCTGAGTTTTTGACTCTGAACTCTGAAACTGAATTAAATGCAATTCCATCAGACTTGTGTTTATAAATTTCTGTTTTATTAACAGTCAAACCTAGTTGCATGTGTATTCATATGTTATTATTATTAGACTTACTATATAAATGATATATATTTTTCACTCGGACTTCAAGTACATACTTTACAATACTAAACAGTAACTTCATCGAGCTGATGTAAGTTAGATGTTTTTTAAATATTGATCTTCGATACTCAATTGCTGCTTGCGAAGGTTTTTGCAACAATAGAATATTTTCCATAACCTCATCTTCAACAGTGATGAGTGCACTCACTGCAAAGATTAGAATTAGTTTGAACTATTAGAATTTTATAAGATATTAGAATTATAAAGCTAGAAATTCAATCGAACTCAGACTGTAGATATTGTAGAGAAGAGAGAGAAACTGCATACCATGTGCTTGGTGAGTGCCCGGCACTGATGTACAAGGGGCAAAAATACATAGGAGGGCATTTCATAGATCATAAGGATTTAAGACTAGGCAAGACAGGTTCTATATTGTGTATATATATTCTATATTGTTCTTTTAAAGAAATCGGACTTGGAGAAACTCTCTAATCCGACTAAGGGGCACCATAGATTTTCTAGGTCGCAGTTTTTTAGGTCAATAATAATAATACAATTATAAAGCAGAGACGATAAATAAAATATTAATATTTTTGTTTCAATAATCTGCACTATTTTATTATTATTAACTATTTTATTATCTGACAGGCGATAATATAATTTTATTACAATTTCTGGGGATATTAATCCCAAAGGCTTAGTACGAATGAAAAACGAGTGAAAGCCAGAATGTCGGCGTTGAGGACCTTGTAATGTCAGAAGGGGAGAGTAGTTCTCGACCCACTTACTTCCTCCTCCAGTCAGAGAAGATGTGATTGGAAGCCTCGTCTGCTTCTAAGCAGAGTCAACAATCTATCTCTTTGGATAGATCCATTTTGTTAAGGTGATAACGCAGTTCATGGTGACCCGTTAAATATCCCACCAGCAACCTCAACTCTCATTATCATAACTGTAGGGATGAACCAGCTCTTTAGCCTAAGATCTTAGTTTTATTGTTTTTCAATTATTTATAGCAATACAAAATAATATTATATATGTTGTTGTCTTTTTTTTCTTTTGATTTATAACTATAACTTAAATGAATATATGGTAACTGTATTTAACAAATAAAAAGTAATAAAGTTTATTATTCCACATATATTGTGTTACCATAGGTTACTAAACCTATAATGTACATTTTATATTTAGAAAATTGCTTTGAAACTGCGTATTCACAAATAAATCACTCTTAAATAAATCAATATTTTAAATAGACTGTCAAATAAATCTAATTTTAATTCGAAATATTTTTAATTTATTTGTGTATATCTAACTCTGTGCATAAAAATTAAAAATAAAATATTACACTTTTTAATACCTTTACCATTGATGAATCGCTATTACCGAAAAGGAAGGACTTTCACTTTCATTTTCGTAGAAACGTTTATAGCCTGTGAGTTAAGTGAGTTAAGTCATGTACCCAATATTCGTATACCGATAAACGGACAGACATTGCGGCGATCGTAAAACTGCAAAACAGTTTGTAAAATCGTGTATATATCAGCAAACAAACCAAGAAAGACAGGCATATATGCCTATGCCATGTTGGCTTGGTTTAAGACAGCCCCGTCTGTCCGTCTGTCCGTCTCTCGGTGTTTCGGTGTTTCGGTCTGGGCAATGGTTGT